GTGCCATGCAGTGTTAACGAGCTATAGACATTTCTAGGAATGATGGTATATTTTTCCAGTTATATACCCTTTTATGCATGGATGGCTCATTCACTTTTTCAGCTATTAAAGAAGGGTACCAAATGGGAATGGACATCACTACATAATGAGGCTTTTCAACTTTGCAAAGATGTTCTATCCAATGGTTTGGTCTGGGGATATGCCAAACCAAATCTACCCTACTGTGTATACACTGACGCATGTGACTATGGTCTTGCAGGGATTCTACAACAAGTACAAGAAATCCACATTCGCGATTTGCAAGGGACTAAACTGTATGAAAGGTTTAAAAAAGCCTATGAAAATAAGGAGGATGTACTGCAGGTGGTCCCCTCAATCTCAAAGGAGTATAATGATATGCCACCTCCAGGAAATTGGGCTGAGAATTTCAAAGACACAAGAGTTCATGTTGAATGTGTTATTTGTTACTGGTCACATATCCTGAAATCTGCAGAGCGCAATTATTTGCCAACTGAAAGAGAAGCACTTGCATTGAAGGAAGCCTTGATTAAATTCCAACCTTACATTGAAGGGGAAAGAATCTTGGCCATTATGGATCATGCTGCTCTAACATGGAGCCAAACCTTTCAGAACATAAACCGTTGTCTATTGACATGGGGAACCATATTCTTAGCATTTCCAAAGCTACAAATCATACATCAAGCTGGCTGAGTGCACTCAAACGTGGATACTATTTCATGTCTTAGATGGCGATTACCTCCAGAGAATGGCCCTGACATGGACACAATCTCTTCAGTTGATTTTCATGAGAAGGCATCTGACACTATGCATAACATGTACGATAAGCTTGGAGATCAATTTGAAGAGAGACTACTCACCACAGCAGCCAATGTTGTAAAAACAAAACTCGATAGTAACCCAGCTGAATTAGCAATAGACTTAGGTGATGTCCCAATACCAGGTGGACCACATGAAGGTATAGCAACTACTCACCTTGCAACAGCACAACTATATAACATCATGATAGGAATTTCTCCCAAAGAACTGAGAAAATAGCAAAACACTTACCTTGTAGATAGCCACTTCAAAGAAGTCATTGAATCGCTGCAGGAACTGAACTCTCACATCCTACCCAAATATCCTCAGTATCAATACAACAATTCAGGGCTGCTGTTCTTTGAGGACAGCAATGGGAACAGCCGATTATGTGTCCCAGAGTTGTTATGAGTACAAGTGATGGATGAAATTCACAACTCCTTAATGGAAACTGCACATGGAGGATATCATCAATGCTATAACTGACTGGCAGCAACACATTACTGGCAAGGAATGTCTAGGGACTTACAAAAGTACATAAACTCTTGCGACATATGTTAGAAGTCGAAACCATGCTGACATGGAGCTATTGGATTGTTACAACCAATTCCAATCCCAGCAAGACCATTCAAAGTAGTATCAATGGATTTCATACCTGAGCTACCATTAGCATCAGGTTATGATAACATACTAGTTATTGTGGATAAACTCACAAAGTACACAATATTCATACCCTGTAGCATGAAGATAACCAATGAGGAAATGGCACAACTGTTTTATCATCATGTGATCATGAAATTTGGCATTCCTGCTCAGATAATAACAGACTGGGATGCTAGGTGGAAAAATGGATTTTGGAAGGAAATATGTCAGTTAATAGGTATGAAGAGAGCACTAACGACATCTCACCATCCACAAGCAGACAGACAAACAGAGATAATGAACCAAGGCCTGGAAATAGCTCTATGAGCATATGTCGGACCACAATGGAATGACTGGGACAAGTACCTTGATGGCTTGGCACTGTCATATAATACTACTCCTCATACAAGCATGGGATTTTCTCCAGCATATCTCCTATTTGGCTTCAATCCAACAACGGAATCTAAGTTACTCACTAATCCAGCATACATTCACTGAGAACTTGGCGATACAGTAGGAATGGGAAACAAACCCAACACAGTTCATCTGGAACATGAGGACGACCATGCCATGGACATTGTAGAGCAATTTGAGGCTGAAAGAATGTGGGCAAAGGAAGCTTTGAAGTTAAGTCAGGCTTTTCAGAAGAAGAATTATAACAACGGACAATTGTTGACCAAGTTTACAGAAGGAGATCAAGTAGTATTGAACCCGCATATGTTGGAACTCCTGAGAAATGAGAAAGGACGACTACTACCCATTGCAGAGTTTGCATACAACAATGCTCCAAATGCCTCCACTGGAATCTCTCCATTCTTTGCCAACAAAGGCTACCATCCCAATATCACTGTTCATCCTGAACGCAATATTGCCTCCACTTGGGCCTGTGACTTTGTAGTCAACCTTGATGAACTACACCAATTCCTACATGATGAAATCACTCAGGCACAATCTCACTACAAGATCCAAGCAGACAAGTGTCGGAATCCAGCTCCTCTGTTCAAAGTAGGTGATAAAGTCTATCTTAACTCTAAACACATCAAGACTACTCGCCCTACTGTGAAATTCATGGAGAAATTCCTTGGCCCATTCAAAATCATAGCTTAGCCAGGCTCCCACTCCTTCACCCTCCAAATTCTCCACTGATGATTTCATTGAAGATTTCCATTGCCACTACCCAGACAAGCCAGGACCATTAGCCAAAGTCACCATCTGAAAATCCACCATCTAACACTGTTCATTCTGTAACACCATTGGCCCCCATTGGCTCTGGCCCTTTCTATTTCAAATCAAATCCACAAAAACTATTGCAAATTTATTTTCTAATTGGGAACAGAACCTGTCGGCTCTGTTCTTGCTCTCTTTCTTGTCCTTCACCTCAAATCCAAGAAAACCAATGTATTATAGGGCCTCTGGAGGCCTGGTCACTGCATACTACCATCAAGAAAATACAAAAATATTTTATATATACGAAGTGACAACAGTTCAAGAGGCCTCAGTGCTAGATGGACCCACTATTTATACATCCTCTACTTCCTTCTCCACCTCCTGTACCAAGACCAGCTCCAAGTCTTTGTACATGTCCTCCTCACTCTCAACCTCCTCACCTCTCTCCTGTTTGTATGCCCTCATCCAAGCTGTCACCCGCCATCAGAGCTCCTTCTCTGCTTCTTCCTCCAGATCTGCTTCTGGCATAGGCATCTTGATTAAAATGTCCAACTCCAGGATACCAACAGAATCCACCCTGGGAACCATATTCTCTCGTACTTCTTCCTCCAAGTCCAAGGGCTCATCTGAATCCTCTACCCTATAACCCTCCTGATCCTTCAACAGCCTTTTCCATAGCTGCCACTCCTTTCAGTGTCCATGCACATTGTAAAAATCCCGATGGGCCTACAAAAACTTGTTACGAGCCAACATTTGTTCATGCAATCCAGCAGCACCGGTGGTTCCAATCCAGAATGACTTGTTCAGAATTTCATATGGGTCCTTGACACCCAGTGGAAGATCTGAACCAAGCAATTGGAGACCCTCTGCCTTGATAATGGCCATGTCCCTATCCAATCATTGCTTGGCTACCTGACATAATACCTCGCTGTAGATATCTTTGGTTTTTTGGAGCTCCATTTGGGACACCTCGAATTCGGCCTTCATCAATTTTGAGAGAAGGTCATCCAGGTACTTGATGTTGTGATCAGGATGGTAGTCATCTATCAAATCTTCTATGCACTCTGCAACTGTATCAACCTTCTCTTCCAAACAAGCTAGCCTTGAGGAGATATCTTGCAGTAACTCCATAACGGTGCTAGAGTCTGCAGAGCCACCATCATCCCCACTCTTGTTGAATGAGCACCATGCCTTCTTGATATGACAATGCTGGCATGTTTGGATGCTGCTGCAGAGGAAACAGATGGCCTTGTCAGACTGACATTTGCCACAATGAGCTATCCCAAGTTAAAAAAAAGAATGGAGTTCCAACATGTCCACGCACCATTTCCAGCAAACACCTTGTCATTTGCCTGAGGGGCAGGCTCAGTCTTCAATTGTTTGAGTGTTAACAGAACTGCTGATGGACCCCCTGCCTTGTCTCCACTCTCCTCCACTACACTCACAGACCAAAACTTATGCTTTCAAAGCTCCACGGCACCTGCCTTCCTTTTTCCCTTTGCAATTGCCTGCTTCCTCCTCAATTCAGCCATTGCAGCCATTTTTGGATCCGCTGGATCCTCCTCAGAATCTCTGTCACTCACCGACGGGGCACCAGCAGCTCGCAATGCCAACTTGTTTGCCTCATCTGCCTTCTCCTTTTCCTGCTCCTTTTCTTTTTCCTCCAAGTCAGCCAATCACTGATGCTCCACAGCCTCCTCTTTCTCCCTCAACTCCCTTGCTGTCTTCTTGGCTTCCAGCCAGGGCCGCTCCTCCTGTTGTTTCTCCCTCTCCAAAGCCAACTGCTTTTCCTTTTCCTCAGCCTCCAGCTGGAGCCACTCTTTCCTCTCAACCTTTAGCTTCCCCTTCTTCAAGGTCTCCACCTTGAGAAGCCATGCCTCCTTCTCCTTTCTCAAATTTTCTGCCCAAGCCTCCTTTGCCTCCCTTGCCTTCATAACCTTCCACTCATCATGTCTGGTGACAGCCTCCTCATATCTCTCCTCCATGGCACCCCGTTCCTTCTCCAGTGCCTCATAATCCTCAAGTGATAAATCCACATGCATCAGGGCCAACTTGTATGGCTCAGAGGTAGCAGAATCATGGTATTTGGTGGGCATGGACATTGGAAACAGTGAGGATGAAATAAAAGCAGAGGTAGTAAAAGTAAGAGGTCAAGTTGTGGAATTCCCATGATCAAATTTCATGCATACATAAACATACCGATTGGCCATCATGATCAGTGCTCTGGAGGGCAAGAACACTAAGAGGAGGTAACTGTTATGCGTATGCCATGGACCTCCACTCCACACTGACTTCAAGCATCGACTTCATCTTAGGATTATATGGTATATTAGTCAGCAGACCAACTTTTGACATCATAATATCATCAGAAAATCCGACAGATCTGGGAATTGAACCCAGGATCTTAAAAAGATTTTTGATAATATCAGATAACTTTTCTAAGCAGACATACCAACCGCTGTACCATACTGGCATTATATATTTATATAATCATCTCTCTATATAGCCTTTCTTTCTTATATTTATAATATCCCAATTGGGCTTTCCCTTTGGTGTGCTTTGGTGTGCTTTTTTTTTTTCCTTATTGGGCTGGTCAAATTGGCCCATCAATTGCACCTAGAATTGGCCTTCCCATGATATTGATAGCATCAATATCAGGCTATTTTCGGACAAAATTCACATTTTAGCTCATTTTGGGCTTCCTCATGCTACTGGGTGGGTCAGGGGATGGTACTAGTATATGCCTAAACATAAATAGCATAAAAGCAAACCCTCTGGTGAGGTATGGGGGCCCTGGGGAGGGGGTAAAAAGAGTAAAAAAGTGGAAAATAGTGGAAAATCACTGAAAATTCATGTTTTGGGGGTACTACATGCATTGGATCACTTCAAAAACTTGACCAATAAATTACCTGACCTTGAAAACCCCCAAATGGCCCCTCTACAGTACATGTGGCACATATTATGACTAGGCATAATCAGAAAAATTGGCTTTTTATGGTGCTGTGTACATTGGATCACTCTGGAGATATTACCAATCAATTTCTACATTATCTAAACCCTAGAATACATCTTCATATGCTATGTATGACCACTGGAATATAATGAAAAATGAGGAATTGAGGGGGAAACACAGTTTATTTTGTTTTCTAGGCATCACGTCGGTCTGGGAATATCACCAATCGATTTCTCGACCTTTAAAACCCTAAAACAACTCTTGGTTACATTTATGGGGTCTCAGGAACGATGGAAATAATGATGTAACAGTTTAGGAGGAGCACACATGGAAACTCGCATTTCTGAGCTTTGGAAAGCTTCAGAGTTGTTGCCAATGGATTGCTTGACTTTGAAAACTCCCAGAACACTCCAGGAACACATTTAAAACCTTTGAAATCCGTGTTAAAAAAGGTGATAGTGAAAATATGTGAAATACCATATATCTCGCATTTCTGAATGTCAGAGATGGTATTTCTGCTATAAAATACATGGGATATATTGTATAATAGTGTGTACAAAAGATTAGAATGATCCGAAATGTATTGGCAGAGATATAAGGAAATCTTTTTGAAAATGAGAAAGAGCACCCCCAGATGTCAATGTTCTGGTCATCCCATGGCCTGGGGACTATCAGATTTGGATTCCTGGACCCAAAAAACATAAGATTCACCAATCATTCATGTGGGTAATTTTTATTAAGGCATGATTCATGCAGACAGCATAACTTTGTGCATAAATGAGAGCACATTCATTACTTTGGAGTTTTGACACGTGAACCCCATGAATGATTGGTGATTCTAAGGTTTTTTAGGTCCAGGAATCCAAATCTGATAGTCCCCAGGCCATGGGATGACCAGAACATTGACATCTGGGGGTGCTCTTTCTCATTTTCAAAAAGATTTCCTTATATCTCTGCCAATACATTTCGGATCATTCTAATCTTTTGTACACACTATTATACAATATATCCCATGTATTTTATAGCAGAAATACCATCTCTGACATTCAGAAATGCGAGATATATGGTATTTCACATATTTTCACTATCACCTTTTTTAACACGGATTTCAAAGGTTTTAAATGTGTTCCTGGAGTGTTCTGGGAGTTTTCAAAGTCAAGCAATCCATTGGCAACAACTCTGAAGCTTTCCAAAGCTCAGAAATGCGAGTTTCCATGTGTGCTCCTCCTAAACTGTTACATCATTATTTCCATCGTTCCTGAGACCCCATAAATGTAACCAAGAGTTGTTTTAGGGTTTTAAAGGTCGAGAAATCGATTGGTGATATTCCCAGACCGACGTGATGCCTAGAAAACAAAATAAACTGTGTTTCCCCCTCAATTCCTCATTTTTCATTATATTCCAGTGGTCATACATAGCATATGAAGATGTATTCTAGGGTTTAGATAATGTAGAAATTGATTGGTAATATCTCCAGAGTGATCCAATGTACACAGCACCATAAAAAGCCAATTTTTCTGATTATGCCTAGTCATAATATGTGCCACATGTACTGTAGAGGGGCCATTTGGGGGTTTTCAAGGTCAGGTAATTTATTGGTCAAGTTTTTGAAGTGATCCAATGCATGTAGTACCCCCAAAACATGAATTTTCAGTGATTTTCCACTATTTTCCACTTTTTTACTCTTTTTACCCCCTCCCCAGGGCCCCCATACCTCACCAGAGGGTTTGCTTTTATGCTATTTATGTTTAGGCATATACTAGTACCATCCCCTGACCCACCCAGTAGCATGAGGAAGCCCAAAATGAGCTAAAATGTGAATTTTGTCCGAAAATAGCCTGATATTGATGCTATCAATATCATGGGAAGGCCAATTCTAGGTGCAATTGATGGGCCAATTTGACCAGCCCAATAAGGAAAAAAAAAAAGCACACCAAAGCACACCAAAGGGAAAGCCCAATTGGGATATTATAAATATAAGAAAGAAAGGCTATATAGAGAGATGATTATATAAATATATAATGCCAGTATGGTACAGCGGTTGGTATGTCTGCTTAGAAAAGTTATCTGATATTATCAAAAATCTTTTTAAGATCCTGGGTTCAATTCTCAGATCTGTCGGATTTTCTGATGATATTATGATGTCAAAAGTTGGTCTGCTGACTAATATACCATATAATCCTGAGAAATTGAATATTTTCAAGTGACACTCATATTGTGTTTTCAGTATATATCAACTGACACTATTTAAGTAGAAATCTAGCATCCAAGGCTGCCCAATGCAATCTCCCAACCTGCCTGCCACACTCATGTGATGGACAATGTCTCAGTACCCATCACCACCAAAGCCACCCACTCCCCCACAACCCTGGGTACTAACTACTGCTGTGCCAGGATCCTGTACAGATCTTAAACCAAAGATTGCCAGAGAACCAAACACTTTTAAAGGAGAATCTACTGATATTGTATACTTTTTTTTTTTTTTTCCAATGCAAGATGTATTTCTCCATATTCAATCAGTTTTTTTGCCACCATTGCCACAAAGTAGTCTTCTGCACCTCCAGGTTCAAAGATGAGGCCCAAAACTGGTGGGAAGTAGCTGCTAGAGAACTTGGGGAAAATACTGATAGAGACCAGCAGTACCCAGCCTATGCCAACTTCAAAGTGGAGGTCAAAAGGTGGTTCTGGAAGGACTCAGATGTCAAAATCAAGTATGCCCAGTGGGAGAAACATTGCCAGACAAGCTTCTCCAATGGCAACTTGTTCTTCCAGAAGTTTGAGTCCCTTGTGTTTAAAGCTGGAATATTCAGCAACAAATGAATGATGTGTGCCCAAGTAAAGAAAGCAGTCCATGAAACCAGCAAAAATACGATATACACTGGTGATGGAACAGTATCTGCCACCTACCAAGAATGGAAGGACCAACTCCTCTGCTGATGAGCCTCCAGGCTCTGTACACTCAGAATTCATGGATTTCTTCTGCTAATTAATGCTACTGTCCCTTCAATGGCCTTTCAGCAAACTAATGATTGCACACACATTGATACCACTTTCATCCTATGGCAACTACTCGACATGTGCTTTGATATCCATCCCATCTCATTACACATCATAATTACTGTATCCCATCATGGCAAGGCACCTTTGATTGATAATCATCCCAATATGGAATTGCCGCATCACTCAGAAGCACCCAGTTGACACACTCATTGATCACTTAATGAAAATGACATGATTGACATGAGTACCCTCTCAGCTACAATAATTACAGCTACAGCAACTACAGACCATGTTTTACTAAGGCTGTTACTTTGCCAAGGCCTCAAGAAAATGTAGCTCTGCATGCACTCCTCAGCACAATGACTATCACCTCGAATCTGCAGCTAAACAGCACTTAGTGATCCACTCATTGCTCAGTAAAAACCATACAGTTTTCATCCATACCTGGCAACATTGACAAGTTGCTGTTACTTTAGAAGACCAAGGACCATATGTTACCTACAATTTCTACAAAGCCAAGGCCTTACAGCCTTACTAAGTCTCGCATATTTACTCTATTTATAAATTCATACTTGTAGTATAAAAACTAGCTAGAAAACATAGTTACAGGGCAGTTCATCACCAGTTCATCTCTAGTTGACCACAGTCTACATCAATTATTGTCACACCCTAGTCTATCACCAGTAAACCAAGTTTATTCACTGTTCTACAGCAATATACTGTTTACCCTGCATATTCTTGATTGCACATCAACTCTTGAACTCACCAGAGTTATTCCACAGTTTTAACTGTAAAGGGCTTCTTGACACTCGCTCTTCATTCTTAACACTATTGGTGCATGCTCATATTGTGCCAATACGTGACTGCCATACCATACCTCACCCTCATTATCTTTTAGAGGCTGCCATCGTTTCACTTTCACCATCGTTATTGTCACCCACTTGAGTAGTCTCCAAGTAGACTTAGGATCAGTATAGGACCAGTTCAGCAAGTTTCATATATTATCAGTCTCTTGAGTGGACTTGAAGGTTAGTTTGACATAGGATAGGATCGCCTCAGTACCAGAACAGTTTCGACATTGACTTCAGCACCATTGCATTGTATAGGACCAGTTTCATTGCCAGTTTCATAGCCCCATGTTTTCACTTGCCATTCCACCATCAGCACCTCATCTCACATTTTCTCTCAACAACCATCATCTCCCCACATTTTCTCATTGCTTCACTCACCCAGAGACTATTGCTAACTGTTTAGTCTATTCTCTATTGTTTGCCCCACTCAGATTACTGTCCAGCGACATTTTCTAGTCTCATCGCACATTTTCTTATATGGATTCATAGTATTCACATCATACCTGATTCCATCCCCTCTCGTTTCAAGAGATCCCTACCGGCTTATAGCCATTGCATCTAGTACTTGACTACCAAGCAGTACTACTTCACAGACTTAAAGTCACAGTGTATACTTGTGTATAGAGGAATTGGTTTACTGTATGGAGGTGCCCTGAACCCACTCACAAA